AAGTGCACGTAGTATCTAGTGTTGTTTCTGTCTGGGCTTTGAGTTTGATCCAAAGGGGTGTTACTTCACAAATATTTGAGATCTGGAGAGATAACCCAAGATTGATTTTCCTCTCTTAGGGAGCCGCTGTTAAATGTTGCCCTGTTACTCTCTACAGTGCTCACAAAGGGATGTGTATTTAAAGCACGCCAACTCCTACTGCTTTTTTATCCTTCTCTTCCTATTTGTGCTGTACAAGAAACAATTCCCTTTCACAGGAGCTCCATTAGGAAAATGAAAGTCCAGCACTTTCCCTTGATGAGTCCAGGTGCTCTGCTGCTGAACAACGTGCAGGGCTTCCTTTAATCTTTAGTCCTTGGCTGATCAATAGGCAGAATCCTCCCGAGTGACTAATCCATTCCCACCTTGGTGCTTTGCCCTCCCACTCGCAGCACACTTGACTTGGCAGGAGTTTGACACCCTTGTCTTTCCTCCTCAGTTGCCATCCGAAGAAAAGAACTCTGCTGTGTGCTCTATTGAACTGTCTTTCTTTTTGCTCTGCCTCCCCAGTACACGAGTGAGTAACGTTCTTGCTGTGTGCTGTGCCTGGCTGGGGGACTCCTTTGGCTTTGAGATGTTGCAGCTTGACTGGTCACTGGGTTCCCATCCGAGGGCAGATTTTTGCCCTCTGTTCCCTTTTTAACTTTGCAAGTGTTTCAGGAGTCGTGATTCTTTCTAATGTCCTGCTCTAACTAAAAGCCCATTTGCCACCTTTGTCTCTTGGTTTATATTTTTCCATACCTCTCGTCCTTCTTAAACTGCTTCCTGCATATACTTTGTTGCTTACCCAATCAGTGGCACCACGGAGGAATGCAGCATGCCAACCGAGGCTTTGGCACTGGTGGTGTTGCAGATGCAGAGTCTGTGCAAATTGACTAAAAGCTCAAAGATCACGTTGTGCATGTGTTGGAAAAGAAGGGATCTGAAGGAAAAGGCCAAGAGTTTCTCCCTGGGTTGTCCAAAGCTGTGCTTCCCAACTTACGCATGGGGTTTGAACCTGCTTGCTTGTCCCGTGGTCAGAAATCACAGGTAATTTTGCTGATGTGAAGTGGCATTACCTCCTTCTTGTGCTGGTGCAAATCAGAGGGAAGGCTCTTGCTTTACATTCCAGGAGGAACTGATTTGGTTTTGCAGTCCCTGAAGCTACCAGCATCTGTCATTTGGGGATGCCTCTGAGAGCTGTTAGCTGTAGGCTCGTGCTTTGCTTTGTCTGCAGTGGGTTTTGCTTACTCTGACTCTGAGAGGAAATAATCACTCATTTCTTACTGGGAGGAACTGGAACCTCAGAGGAATGTGAAACATTTGTCTAAAGGCTGCAGTACGTGGCTGGGTTTTACCTCTGGGAAGGGCTGATAGGGCACTTCTTAATCCCCCCTGCACGCTTTTAAGCTTAGACACCTTCTTAAAGCTTGCTAATGACTTGCTTACTCAGCCAGTGTCCTTACTAGCTGGTGCAGAGCCCTAGTAAACTTGCTGCTATCCTGTCAGGACTGAAAATGGGCAGGGTAGAAAACCTGCCAGAAAATGAAATACCACTGGTCAGCTCAGTCCTGAACCAGAACCAGAACCAGCCTTTCTTCCCCTGTGACCTGCAAAGCTGCTTGGGCAGGAGGGTGTCTCCAAGAGGCAGCCTCGTGTGGGAGCACAGTTATCAGTTAAAGCCCCCATTTCCTAGCTGGAGTTTGAGAAAAGCCCTTCAGGAGCTGTGGGACAGAAACACCTTTGTATTGACTTACATTTTCTTTACCTTGTTTAGCCTTGGGCTTGTTCCTTTGTCTACATCTGAATAATCAGAATAATCTATTGGATCTGAGGCAGAAGGACCTCTGATAGTATAAATTCCTCAATGTAACTGCCCAGAGACTCACAACAAACTGGTGCTCTAATAGCAAAACATCTCTCATGGTTTTCCTTCAGTAGAAGACCTGTGCTAAGGGGATGGCAGATGGGAGAGGGTGTTCTAGAGGTACCCGAGGCTGTAACCTTCATCTCTTTCTGCAGATGGCAGATGTGTTGTGCGCCCTTTGCTTTGTCGGTGGGGTCTGCTCTGCAGCTGATGATCACTTCATCTCTATGTGGCTTGGAACTGTAGGATTAGTCCAGATAACAGAAACGACACTACTTACCCCAGTTTTTCCTCATCTTGCACTGCTGGATTGCTTCCTCGTTCAGGTTTTCTAGCGTTGCTGCCTGCTCACTATCTGAGCCAGGACTTCACTTGCAGGTGAAGCAGCTTTGCCCTTGGAAATGACAAGTTAAGCTTCTGCTTGATGGCAGAACCCAAAATACAGCTCAGTGTCAGGAGGGGGAAGGTTTTTCTCTCTAGGGCTCCATGTAGCTAAACTGCAGCTGCCGATGTCCATGCCCAGCGTGCAGAAGATGCCCTCCTTGAGTTACTGCTTTGGTCACTGGAGCTAAGGTGAAGCAGAGGCTCAAGAGCTGGGTTTATTTGCCACTGCAGAGGCATGTTGGGCTTCTTGGACCTGAGTGATGTGGCTTCAGAAAACACGTGTGTGTTTGATAACTGTGTGATGCTGAAGAGACCAAACCTAACTCTCATAGAGAAGGTGTTCCTGCTAACTAGTGTGGAACCATGGATTTCACCGGGCCTTCACCAACTTCTCCTTTGCTCTTAGTTGAACGTGAGTTTCCCCACTACTTAAAGCAACTGCTGTTCCTTTATCTCTTCATCCTCAGGTTAATACAAGATGCAACACAAAACAAACCAGGGAGATGAATTACTAAGCCTCAAAACAGCCTTGAGGCATCTGATTCTCTGCTGCTTTTGGTATCTCCTTTCCCATTCATCCTGACACCTTGTTTTTGTTGAACTTCCCAGCCTCATTCAAAAGGGATAAAGTTCCTTTAATCAGGCAGTGACTACTTGTAACAGCAGCTACAATGAAGGAAACAAGAAAGGAGATCTCATGAGACAAGTAACAAAATAAGACAAAGAACCACTGGCAGCCTAAAGCTTTGCATAAAACCAGTTGAGCCCAGGGGCCAGGATTTAAAACTAACCTGTGGGGAGAAGAAACACCATGTTTGTTCCCAAGTTCTGCATGTTAATAAAGTGTGGCTGAGCTCAGTAGGTACCTGACCAAGAGGCAGATCCACTGTGTTAAATGGAGATTCTGCAGTAATGGAAGAGGAGGAAGCTGTTTGGAAAGGTAAGGTGGAAGGAGGGAGACTTCAAGGAGCAAGGCACAGGATTGCAAAAGGAGTGATTACTGTATGTGTGGGTTTGAAGATAGAGGTTGATGAGAGTGCTTTGAGGAGAGCTGGGCATTGGCAGGTTGCTGTTCTAAAAGAGCCTGCTCTGAAAGGAGTATCTTAGGCCTGAAATGGGAATACGTTCACCATGTACCATGTGTCTCTTCATTGCTTACAAACTCCATCTCAAAGAAGGAGCCAAACCCAGTCTGAAACTGCCCAACTCTGAGACAATCCATAGTTTCTCCCACAGTTGTGTCCTGTGCCTGGCTCTCTGGATTAACTGATACCTGGCTGGATACCTGTTACCTACTGCTTCACTTAGGGGAAAAGGAATTGAGCATGTTCTCTGTTGTCACCAAGCCTCTCTCCTGTGTTGCGTTGTGCTTTCCCAACACCCTATAATCAATTCCATCCTCTTAGTCCCCTTTTGATAGCATTAACACTGCTTCTGGTTGCCAAGCCCCTGCTCGGAGCATAAAACAGCTGTAAAAGCTTTGTAAAGCTGGGGCAGGGCCCCAGCTCCTTCTCCTCTTGGATGGTGAATGCATCATTTCAACAAGCTGAGGTGGCCACGTGTGTCCGTGTGGAGCCCACTTGTCAGAGCTGCTCTGCTGAAGGTGATCCCTTCTAGCGCATCCTCAAAACGTTCTTCATCTCCTCCTCTTGTGAAGTAATCCCTTGGGAAAGCTGGATCATTAATCTCAGTATTGGAAACCTGCTTAGTTTGATGGTGAAATCACTCATCCCCCAGGTTGATAATTGAGATTAGCTTTTTGCCCAGGCTGTCTACATGTCTCTGTGGGAGGGATAACGGGAAGCACAGGAGGTGAGCTGCTGAGCACGACCTGTCTGATTTGAAACAATGAATTGGTACCTAAAGAGCTGTTTAACCCAAGGGCAGGTTCCAGTGTCTGGCACTTCGGTGTCTCACTGATTTCTGCCTTTGCTTAAGCTCTTAAGGGCTGTAAGTATTCCATTCTTGAGGAGATCAATAGGTGTGGATGCCTGGTTCTAGCATCCTGAGCTTCGGATCATCTCTTCCATTTCTTCTTACACAAACACTGGCAAAGTCTCTTACAAGGACAAGAGGAAACGGCCTCGAGCTGCCCCAGGGCAGGTTTAGCTGGAGCTGAGGAACAATTCCTTGCCCAGAGGGTGCTCAGGCATTGGAACAGGCTGCCCAGGGCAGGGCTGGAGTCACCGTCCCTGCAAGTGTTCACAGCCCGGGTAGACAAGACCCTCAGAGCCAGGGGTTAGTGGTGGCCTTGGCACTGCTGGGGAACGGTTGGACTTGATGAGCTTAAAGCTGTTTTCCAACCTGGTTGAGTCTGTGATTCCAAAGACAAAGACCTTCCCATCACAGGAAGGTGGTGGTGGGGGAATAGCAGGGATTTGGGGTTTTACTGGAGGTTTTGTTTGACTTTTTTCTTTTTAATTTGATTTTCATGTTCAGCTTTTGTGCTTTGGGTAGGAGTGAAGGAACCATGTGCTGCTTTGCAGTGGCTCCTTAGGGAGAGCAGTGCACTGAGGATGAGGATGTCCTCAGTTGTCTTAGATGACCATGGCCAGTGAATAGCTGCCCTCTACCATCCCTGAGCGATAGCGTGGTTGCACACAAGGCTGCAGATGCTCTTCGGAGGCTGCCACACTGGATGTGAGCCCCTGAACTGAGACCTGATTAACATTGTCTCTTTTGTTTGCTTTTCTTTCTCTGTTGCTTTCCTCCTTTTCCTGCTTTAACCCAGAAAAACTGATTGAGGGACTCAAATCTCCTGAGACTGCGCTTCTGCTCCCTGATATCCTGCCTCTTGCTGACCCCTTCGGTAGCACCTCAGATGCTGTGAATGGTAAAAATAAACCCGGGGTGCCCCCTCCCCTCTGTCTTACACAGCATGTCTTGTCCTGCATGGTAACCCTGCGTGTTAACCCCACTGGGCTCCCAAAACAGCCACTGCTGGTGGTGAAACTCAATGTGATACGAAGTGATGGATGATGTGAGGGTGCTGAGGTGCTGGCACAGGGTGCCCAGAGAAGCTGTGGCTGCCCCATCCCTGGCAGTGTTCAAGGCCAGGTTGGACACAGGGGCTTGGAGCAACCTGCTCTAGTGGAAGGTGTCCCTGCCCATGGCAAGGGGCTGGAGCTGGTTGAGCTTTAAGCTCCCTTCAACCCAAACCAGGCTGGGACTCAAAGACAGATCTGCCTGTTCTCCACATCACCAAAGACTTGATATTTACATTTAGAACCTAAGCTTACTGGTGTGGCACAATAACTGTGGTTGTGCCTGGTGTGTGTTTCCCTGGTCACACTAGAAGAAAGTTAAAAGCTGACTGAAGAAGGTACAAAAATTCCCTCTGTTCCTGCTAAAGGCTTCATGTGGAACCATGGTCCATGTCTCCATCGACCCTCAGCAGGGTGGGGAGGTAGAAGGATTTCAGAGTGTTTCAGAATCATGTTTTTATCTGCTTGCCCAGTGCACTAAAGGCTAACAATTGCAAGCTGCAGGTAGTTGCAATCAGCTGCTGTTGTGGTTTTGGGTCCCCTGGTTAGCTGGTTGCAACCTTTGTAGCTTTGAATAGAAAGGTGGGCAATGGGTCACCTCTTTCTTCTTTTCTCTTCTGCAGTTTTTGGCAGTTGTCTGAATACTCTTAGATAATGATCCTGCAAATCACACACTGCTGTGCAAACAGACATACTCAGGCATCTCTCTTAGGTTGAGCAATTAGACCATTTCTGGCCCTGGCAGTTGAGGGCATCCTTGTTCTTTAACTTCTTGGTCATTACCTTGATGTTGGTCCTCGAGGAAGAGACCCAGACAAGGTGTGACTCTGTCTCTCCCCCTTCCCTTTATGGTGTCTATAAAAACAAAGCTTTCTATCCAGCCTTTGTAGATATCTGTTTGGATCCACATAATGGACACCCACATTAGATGATACTGGTGTTCCCAGTAAGATACTGAGTTCCAAATCTTCACCTCCTCTCTGCAGGGTCTCCCATCTTTGCTCCACTCAAAATGGGAAAGAAAGATCCCACATGTTGGCTTTTGATAAGCTTAACTGGGAACACATTAAGGGTCCTACAGTAGGAATTTTTCTAATGCAAAGGGACTCCTTAAAGGTCAATGTTCCCTTTGGCTGGAGAAAGATCTCGTTACTTGCCCAGCCTCAGGCCTTCTGCATTATTAACCTCCCGTTCCACCCTCTGCATTTGTCAAATTGGGCTTGCACAAACAGAAACAGATAAATTATTGAGGGGGGGAGAAGGGCAAAACAACCAAAAAGCAGCAAACCCCAGGAAAACTCAAACCCAGTTTGAGTCCTGCCTCAGGATTAAGTTGGCGTCGGTCTCACTTCAGCCTCGCCTTGCTGCCATGTGCTAAAGGGTCACTAAAGGATTCAGACAACTGCTGCCTTAGTTCCTGCTCCTGCTGCTGTTTGCAAACTAACCTCTGGCTTCTCCTCTGCCCTGGTGTTCGGCACGTTTGGAAAGGAAAACCTGACGTAGCTGTTGAGAGTCTCATACCGGGCCTCGAGGCGCCGCTGCCCCAGCGCCTCGTGTCACAGACTGAGTCGGTGGCCTCCAACAGAACAGGTTGGTGAGGCAGGAGGGTGCTGGGGGGACAGGGTTGTATCGTACCAGTGTGGGCTGTGGGAATCACATAAACACCCCTTCTCTCACTGCTTTGCCCATCAGTGTGAACTGGGCTGGCTTCTGTGTTTGTAAGCAGATGCTGCGTGGTTCCGTGGAGGTCAGTGTTGCTGTGAAGGACAGCACTGACCTCCTTCAGCCCACCCCTACAGGTCTGTAGGTGCTGCAGTATTGCCCCAGTGAAGTGCTTTTGGAATCTGGAGCAGGCACCGACTTGTGTCTGTTCCATTGGGGCATGGTAGTAAATGATTCATGTCCCTTTGTTCCTGTGAAGGCCATGGAACTGTTGGAGCAAGTGCAGAGAAAGGCACAAGGATGCTCAGGGGCTGGAGCAGCTTCCATATGGAGACAGGCTGAGAACATCGGGGCTGGTGAACCTGGAGAAGCTGCTGGAGGCCTCAGAGCAGCTTCCAGTGTCTGAAGGGGGCTACAAGGATGCTGGAGAGGGACCTTCATCAGGGACTGGAGTGACAGGACAAGGGGTGATGGGTTCAAATTGGAACAGGGGAAGTTCAGGTTGGAGATAAGGCAGAAGCTCTTCCCTGTGAGGGTGCTGAGGCGCTGGCACAGGGTGCCCAGAGGAGCTGTGGCTGCCCCATCCCTGGCAGTGTTCAAGGCCAGGTTGGACACAGGGGCTTGGAGCAACCTGCTCTAGTGGAAGGTGTCCCTGCCTGTGGCAGGGGGTTGGAGCTGGAGGAGCTTTAAGCTCCCTTCAACCCAACCAGTCTGTGATCTGCCCACTTTGGCAGCAGATGGACTCGACGTCTTCTCAGAGGTCTCCTGTGAAACAGGCAGCACGTTCAGCTTTGTGCCAGAGAGTCCCTGCAGCTCTCCCCACACTCCCCTTCGCTGCCCCTGCTTTAACCTGTCACTTGTGTGGGATCATCTCCCTGTTGTGTCCTGGGCTTTAGAGGGCAGGTAGCCCCAGAGGATGTGTTAGTTACTGCTAAAGGTGTTGGGCCTCCCCCTGCCCCCACTGCAGAGCAGCAGGGAGCGTTTCCATCACAAAGTGGTAGCTTTTGTGCTGGTTTGGGAGAAGGAATGTGGGAACATGAGCTTAACGGTGTTTGTGTCCTGTTTAATGCTCCCTCGCGGCCTTTGGATGCTAACGTGGATTCAGACTCTCTAACTGGGGAGGACTCTCTGCTTGACTGTTCTCTGCTTTCTAACCCTGCTGCTGACCTCGTGGATGAGTTTGCTCCTGTAGCTTTCGCAGCTCAACCTCACAAAGGTAAAACTGCCCCTTTGTCTCTTAACACCCGCTGGTCCTGGGGCGTGCTCTTTAGCTGATCCCAGTTCACACCATCGGATGCTCTCACCCATGTTCTGGTGGTGGTTTTTCTTTTCCCCCAAGCCATTGCTTTGTTTCCTTCCCAAACTGGTTAAACTTGGAATGCACATTGAAGTACTAAGGGAAAAGTATGAATAAAAGCATTCAGCTTGACTGTGAAGACAAGGTTTGCATCAAGCAGGGATGCAGCAGAAGGGATCCAGTAGGCTTAAAGGGTAGGCTTTTGCCTGCAGCTCTTTCTCAGGTTCATAAGTGAATGCAGAGTGGGTTTGTGGTGTTTGAGACCTGGTTTTGGGCTGCATTATGAATTCTGGAAGGGAGCCTGATACCCATCTCTACCAGTGTCACAGGTTTTTGAAACAGGAGGTATTTGTTAGCATGTGACTGAGCCCTCCCAGATCTAGAAGCTGTTTTCCTGTTCAGAGCTTAGCAGGAGAAGGTTCTTGAGTCAAACTGCAGCCTCACAGCAAGCCTGGAAGTGCAGCACCCGACTGCAAAGTGGAGCAGCTTTATAGTAACACAAGAAAGCAGAGCTGAAGAAGAGAAGCAAACCATGTGTGGCACGTTCCAGGAGCTGCACATCAGCTCCTGCAGTGCAGCAGTGTTTGAGCTCGAGGGGAGCTGTGCAAATGCAGTGACCAGAGTTCTCTTCTCTTTCCACTAACAAGCAAGAGTAGAGGGCCCTGGGAAGCTGGGTCCTAACTCCATTCTGGCACATGCCTAAAGCAGTTGGGAGCAGAGTACTTGTCCCTTGGGGACGATGCCACATGTTAGTGGGTGACTCTCACATAAAGCCAGGCTTGTAGTGACTGTAGGACTACAAGTAAGTCCTGTAAGACCAGGACTTCTGTGCTATTTATCTCCTCCAACAGAGGCCCACAGCACAAATGTTGACTACTGAGTGCCCCTTGATGCTGGGTTTTGCTTGGCTCACTTGGTGAGTATCCCTATAGCAACAGAAAATGATCTGTCCTCAGAGGAATTGCTTTAAAACCAGCCTGTAATCAATTTTTACACTTGATGGCACTTCAAAATGAGTTTGTGTTTTTTCGTAGAGCTTTTGGGTTTAAACAAGCAGTTGTTCTAATTGCTCACTGCTATAATACACTTTATTTTGAGTAAATGGCTTGAAATGTATGTCGAGCAGTTATTACTCCATGTGTGGAGCACAGCAAAGCCCAAACATCACTGGTGTGACTTAATGAGAAAATGGATTCACTGACTTCCCAGGGCTGCCCTGCTCTTCCCTCGGGGATGAGGAGGACTCACATTTCATGGGGAAAATGAGACTTCCATTAGTGGGGGGCCCCAGAAACGTCACAATCTTCCCAAATCTCACCTATGGCTTGTTTTCAAACCCTGCTTTACAGCTCTGGGTGTCGTCATTAACTGTACATCCCCCTCAGCTGCTTTGTTTATGCAATCCTGGCTTTGAAAGCAACTGTCCCAGGGCATAACCAGCCTGTGGAACTGCAACACTGCAAGTTATGGTGGGACCAGGAGGGCTTGAAAAAGCAGTCACGGTCTGAGCAGAGCCACAACGTCCTTTGTCCTTTACGAGGCTCCTTCTCTTCCCATTTGGTGGGTGCAGCACAGGCTGTAGGTGTGGGAGGAGGGAGACTTCTCCTGCTGGTGGGATACAGTCACTGAGGAGAGCTCAGAGGCTTTTGAAGGAGTTTCACCCAAAGAGGGCCACTCACCAGCCTTTTCTGTCCTAATGAAAGCCCACACTTGAGCAGTGCCCCTTCAGTAGCTCCTTGTACAGCAAAGTGCAGAGCTCTGAGCTCTTGTGTGTATAAAGGAAGTGAAATGGAAGTAGGGGGCTTGCAAAGGCTCCCAGGGAGGTTGAGAAGAGCCATAAATAAATAGAGCCAGAGACAGAGTGATGACAAGATGAGACTTTGTGTTAAAATGAAGCATCTTTGTGGTTTTGACACCTCACAGGCCAGACTCTAAAATGTGTGGGGTGTTTTTCTGGGGCTGATCCTTCAGAGGACGGTGGATTTCCACAAGTGGTTTCTTTCTTCATCTCCCCTCAAACCTGTTATCCTGTTTGTCAGGTTTAGGTAAAGAGCTTTTGTTCTTGGTAGGAGTCAAACAGCAATCTTCTCGTTCCTTAGAAGCCATCAGCTTGGCTTTCATGTAGCAATTGAGGAGCAGATTTTGGCAGGTATTTTAGGTGTCTAAGGTGTAACAAGCAGTGATGCACAGCGAGACTGAGAGCCTCTAAAGGTGTGTAATTGCCTGATAAGGCAGGTAAATGTCTCAGCTACCGTGGAGATGGTTGAAAGTGCCTCTCACCAAGTGTCAACTGCAGCTGACGTGGTTTGAAATCAATGGAATTATGTGTCAGGGCTGCTCCTGGGGCCTTTAAAACCTCTCTAGTTACGCCTTCAAGCACTTGAAACCCTTTGCAAATCTGACTTCATGTTGCACTTCTTGCTTTATCACTGCAGGTGAAAGCTCAGGGCTTTTGTCTCATGTGGATGCCTGGAGTTTCTTCTGTGGTTCTTTCCTCCTCCTCCCCTTTCCTTCCAAGCCCTTTCCTTCTCCTTGTGCATGAGGGAGCCAGACTGCTCTCAAACTGTCCTGGTACCTGGCAGCCCCTGGATGATGACAGAGAACACCTTCAGTCCCAGGGAGCTTAAGCCCTGGGCTTTTACCACAGCTTTTACCTATGGCAATTGTTAAGCCTTCAGAGTAGCCAGATTTTATTGTGGTTCTCATGGCTTGGCTTGCTTTTGGTTTGCCTTCCTTCCACTTCTCTATTGTCTCTCTTCCTACCTTTTTTTACCAGCTTTATTCACCTTTTAAATGAAACTCCTGCTTCTAAACCCTGTCTCTGAAAACAGAAAAGATGCTCTAACACTTTTTAGCAATTCTAACCAGCCTTCTCTGCTATCTTTGCTTCTTTACCTCTGTTTCTCCTTCATGCTGCAGAAGATACTAACCTGATATCAGGCTTTGATGCTCCTGAGGGCTCTGAAAAAGTGACAGAAGATGAGTTTGACCCAATTCCAGTGTTGATATCCAAAAATTCACAAGGTAAGCCAGGATGTGGGGGTGAAAAGGGCAGGAAGAAAGGAAAGCAATGAATGTAAATCAGTTCTGGGGCAGCGGTGGTGCAGCACATGTGAGCTAGTTCAAATCATAAACCATAAGAGGCCAGCATTGTAGTGTTCAGTGAGCTTAGTGTGCCTCTGATTGACGTTGGCCTTGAAACTTCTCCACACGCCGTGAGAAGACTAAATGCCCAAAAAGGCAATAGACACGGGAGCATCTTTAGACCCCATGAAGTGATTTGTACCACTCTGCCAAGCAGGGCACAGGTACCTCTGTGGCTGAAGCGCAGCGGAGAACTGCATTCTACTGCCTCAGCTACTGTTCAAGCCAAGGGAAGAAGACCCTTTGACTTTTAGGCTACCTTGGCACGAGGCACAAGGAAGGGAGATGATAATAACTCTTTATAACACTCAAACTCCTGCTGAAAAAACTTTTTCACCACTGCCTTTCAAAGGTGTTTGTGGGAACCGAGTGCGAGAGCTTTGGTAGACGCCACCCGCCTCCTTTGAAGAGCCCTGAGCAGAGTCCTTAGGCCACAGACTGGGAGGTTTCTCATTTCACAGCATTCCTGGGACCTAGATCACACTCACATGATCTTTGCAAGCAGTTTGAGCCTTCCTTAGGGTTAAGTATAAGCAGCACCGTTGCCTTACAACAAATGGCAGTGCTGCATCTTGTGGCTCTTGCAGGGACAGAAGGAGGCAGCGTTTTGCTGTCTTGCCACTCAAATAGGTCTCTCTGCAGGTGAGAGGTTGGGGTTATGCTAGTGCAGGTTTAAAGCCAGACTCCAGGGCTCCCTTTTGATGTTGTTTTGATTCTTCCTTTGGTTTGGTTGGTTTTTTTAAGTTGGGTTATAGAAGTTCATTGACTTCTCTAACGCCCGTTTTTGTTTGCAGCAGG